CCCCTCCACCACTCTTCCTTCTCTCTCTTCATCCGCATCCTTTTTTTGCAAAACATCTGTCTTGCAGTTTCCTATTATCTACATTTTATGTTGCTTTCTATATATCAGGTTTCTCATATAATAAAGACATGCAATTTTTCTTTAAGAAAATAAACACTAAATCTCCTAGAAGAGACAGTAAGAGTAACTCTTGAAGACTTAGGGGTAGGCAAAGAGTTCATGAGCAAAATCAAATCAGATGGGTAATACTTGAAAGAATTAACAACTGGGACCTCCTCTTATTGAGAAGTTTTTGCACGTCAAAAGAAATTACCAATAAAGTGTAAAGACAACCCACAAGTTTGGAAAAAATCTTAACTAGAAAGCACTCAGATGAAGGTCTTCTCTTTAAAATTCATAAAGAACTAGAAAACATTAGGGCCCCAAACTAAAGACACAATACAGAAATGGGCATCTGAAATGAACACATACTTTTTAGATGACAGAATTAAAGAAGCGAATAAATATATGAAAAAATACTCCACATCACTAGCCATCCATGAAATGCAAATTAAGACATTTTCAATGTAAACATAATTAAATGAATAATTTCATAGAAATGCCAAAAAAACTATGAAAAAATGGAGGTTTGTGAGGCTTCAGTAAAAATAGACAATGGAGGATGGATATGTTGAAGTGCTTAACAGTGAGGATGGGTCCTCCATGGTTAGAGCAAGGAATGCACTGTAAGATGTGGTGGGCAAGGGCAGCAGGAGGGTCAGCCTGCAGCCAGATTGAAGCCCTCCCTCAACTCACAGATCATAGAAAATAATATATTTGCTTAAGCATGCTGAAAATGCCAAAGAGTGAGTGAGGTTCAGTGGTCATGTAAATGTTCTACTTGCTTTGAAATGAACTATAAACAATATTTTTTGTTTTGTTTTGTCTTTGCAAAGATATGCTTTCCACAATTCTAAAACGATTATAATCATTTCAGCTGTTTTGTCTTTGAGATAGCATCTGACTAGGTAGTTCAAGGTGACCTTGAAATCACCGTGCAGCCCAAGCTAGTCTTCAACTTGGAGCTCTTCTTCTATTTCAGTTTCCCACATGCAGAGATGACAGGCTTGTGCCTCTATGCTTAATTATCATGAGACTTTAACAGATGCTCCCTGAGGTGGGCAGCCACATTGCCTGACTCCTGGGCAGGGCCCTGATGGGTTCATGGGCTGATCCATCCCAGAGGTCTTCAGGGTCCAACCTTGTATGGATTAGAGACATTGTCCAGTCTCAGAGCTATGCTTCAGCCCTCATTAATAACGATGTTCTTGAGGTTCACAAAAACATATCTGATGAAGGGTGCAATGTGACTTTCTTTATATCAGGGGATATATTTCATGACAAGTATGATGACAGCCTCAGTAATATCAATTATCAAAAACAGGGAATTGTTGAGAACTTTTGTAATGGGCCAAGTGAAGTTTCATGATTTTAAACCAGGATTTCAGTTCAGACAATGAAAAGAAAACAGGAAAGAGCCTGCATGTACTGGAGAGAATGAGGAGGGTATTTGTCAAACTCAAGTCAGTAAAGTCATAATGATAATTAAGAAATATATTATAGAATACAAGTAAATTGCCCTGACTTTCCCAGCCTATGTAGTTCATGAGCTCACCCTACTTTGATGTATCTTACATTTCACTCTATACAATGCTAACATTAAAGGCAGATTCACTTAATAATTTAGTGTCCCTTCATCTAAGGACCTTGCTCTTCTTACTTGAAAAATATAAAAATTTATTTTGGAGTCATAACAGGTAATTTAAAAAATATTTTGGAATGATGAGTTTCATGTGATGGTTAGTGAATTGAGGTATTTAATTTGTTGGTTATTGTTAGGCTAATTTCAGGATGGCCTTTACAAGGATATTAGCAAGTAAAATAGACATATTATGAGTTCTACTCTTCTTAAAATAGAGTGTAAATACTTGGATTTGTTGTTTTTTATTTTCTTTTCTAATCGTCTATCACATTGTGAAACCATGAACTATGTTTTAAAGTGCATACAGTTTTACTATGGAGAATCGCCCTTCTCAGTTCTGCTTTTAAGTCTCAGTTCTTCACAAAGATACACCTGCCTGTGTCTGTTTATAGTGGACTGTATGTCAACTTAAGAGCATAATTTGTTATTTCTAAACCTGTGACATTTTTTCTATATTGGGACCTTATTTTTCACATGAGGAGATAGCAGCTTTTCACTAACAACCAGGGTTTCATTCCACCTATACAGATTACCATAATGGACCTAGTCTCACTTATTAAATGTTTGAAGGCATTTGATGAATATACGCCCATCTGAGCATTTCAAAGTTGGTCCTCAATTTTAGCCACAGATGCTTGCACTAACTTACCAAGAACACAGAGTATAGATTCGAAGCAATATTCTGTTTATGAGTTTGGACATTAATTACAAGCCTAGTGATGGTACTAGCTGGGAGGAAATTTTCAGTGAAGAGGAAGACAGAAAAGTTGAGATCTCCTCACAAAGGATACAGTGTTTGTCCGTGTCAGAGGAAATAGTAGTAGAACAGAATAGCACAGTCCCTGGAGACTGAAGAAGAAAGCATTATGAGCTCTTAAGCTATTATTCTGTCAGTATTGGGGAACAACTCACAATACCATAGTGTAAAGTGACACCATCATAGTCCAAATTGAAGTGCACAGACTGGATTTCATGTGTGCTCCATACTGAGGAGATATTTATTCTCTCTCCATACTTGAACTAGCTCAAAAACCCTGTATCACCACGTCAGTAATACAGTAATCAGTTGACAGGTATTATTTAAATAAATCCCAAAGACTGGTTCTGTAACCAGAATTCTTAAATATGACTTGGAGCAGTAGAAAAACTTAAAGGCCTGAACCATATCATAAATAATATTTCTTACGGCCTTCTAGATTTCAGCTGACTTTTCCTACCATTGTTATCAGGAGCAGGTGGTCATGTCCCCATAGATGCCACCCCATAGGAAGTACAGATGTAGGAGATGGCTTTTGAAAAGTGAGTTGAAGGACATGTTAGTAGCAGTTTAATAACAAACAAACCAAAAAACAAGGGCTGGGGAAATAGCTCAGTAGAATAAAGGGCCTGAGTTTAATGCCCTGATCTGAAGAAAAACAAAACAAACAAACAAACAAAAAAACAACTGGTTTCTATTTATTTTCCAGATTTGTCTCAGGACTTAAAAGACTTTGCTGAATTTGATTTTTTATTATTATATAATGACCAGAAAGGTCTCTTCTAAGGAGTTGTAGATACAGTGACAGAATCCAGCCCCAAGCCCTGGGCATCTTTCAGCAGGTGCTAATGGTGAAACACCTCCTGGTGGCCAACTGCACAGAAAAGCACATTCTGTCCTCAAGACAAGTTTTCATGTAGGAAACAGGAACTTGAATCTTCCAGCAATCTAGGAGTTTTCATAATCTGAGACTACCGAAGAGCTAACTGAGCAGCTTAGGTTTTCTTTATATCAGTTTTTTCACCCACTAGTAGGATTAATAAGGATAGTTTTGAATATTAAATGAGGCACTATAAAGAGGATATTAAGAATAGTGATTTATATTAAGGTTTTCAATAATTCAAATAATAATTTTCATATTTCTCCCTTCTTAAAAATTAAGTAGCTCACAGCACTTTAAGGACGTGTCTCCCACGTGTGGAGTGAACACATGGCATAGTGATCCAGGAGATGATTCCACAGTGAAAACCTGCAAATCATAACTGTGCCAGGAAGTCTTTTTCTTGTATTATTTAGTCCTGCCTAAAGACTACAAAGGATAAATCAGTTATTCAAGTACCATGAAGCAGAGTATAAACACAGCGATTAGAGAGCAAGCGATAATCACTTAGAAATTCATGGTGCAAGAAGCTGTATCCTCCACGGCGACCAGCGAAGTCTGTAAATGTACTGTGCCCACACGTTCCTAAGTGGTTCTCCATATTTTATATTTTTAGCACTTTATCTTTTGAGAAATGTAAATGTAGTTCTGTAGGGCAGTGAAAAGCCTTGTTATTTGGTAAATTGGGTTTTTACATTCATATTAACCAAAGTCCAGAATGACGGCAGTTAAAGGAGATGAAAGATTGTTGAAATGACAGGTTGAGTATTGTGTTTCTCAGGTTGCGAAGTTCAGGAAAATGTGTAATTATTTCTGAGTTTCCTGAGGTTCCTCTGTTCAACATAATGTTCTGACATACAGCAGGGACAGTTCCAGATATGAAATGCAAATCAGGAGCTGCTGCCCCTGCTGCTGCGGCTGCTGGGGTTAATCATGCAAATCAAATGCAGTTCTTGGTTATTCAAGAAAGGTTTTAGTTGAAGTCCTATGCACGTATTGATTTAAAATTTCTATTTTGAGGGCGGTGTTATTTTTTTCAGCTTCACATTTTAACATACAGAGTAGGATTTGGAGATAGATTTAATAATTGGACTTTGATCCATATTGGCTAATCATGGAAAAAAATTACCATGGGAGAGAGTAGAGTGGTAAGGACAGAGATTTGAGAACCCATAAGAATGTAAGGATTTCAAAACATATAAATAGTATATTAGAGGTAAATTTACACAAGTTCTACAGAAAAATTCTTTGTTTGGAATAACATAAATCATTTATACATATTTACCAAATGATGAAACATATATTGACTGTTAAATGAAAAGATGGTTTAAATTAGCAGAGTCTACCTCAAAAATAACACTTCAAGCTCTTGCCTTTGGCAATGGTAGAAAACACCATTGGAAATGAGTCAGTTTATGGGAAGAATTGAAATCGTCCTGCTCGTCAGTGTAATATGCCACATTCTGTTAGTCTTTCAGTTGTGCACAATAAGCAGCCAGCTTATCTTTCTAAAGACAATAAAATTTCATGTCCCAATGCCTGAAAGAAGAATTATTTTTACATATCTTCATATTGCTGCCTCTCTTGTAAATTAATCTCATCTCGCACGAATTTTTCACCAGCTTCACTCTGATGTTGATAAAGGAGATGGTTCCATCAAATACATCTTGTCAGGTGAAGGGGCGAGTTCCATTTTCATTATTGATGAGAACACTGGGGATATTCATGCGACCAAAAGACTGGATCGAGAGGAGCAGGCCTACTACACGCTCCGAGCTCAAGCCCTGGACAGACTCACCAACAAGCCCGTGGAGCCAGAGTCAGAATTTGTCATCAAAATTCAGGATATCAATGACAATGAGCCCAAGTTTTTGGATGGACCGTACACAGCAGGAGTTCCCGAAATGTCTCCTGTGGGTAAGTGAAGAGCATGCTGCGTTGGCTGCGCACATCAGACTTTCAGTAGCTCCTAATTCAATGTAAGTTGCCAGCAAGTACAGAGGAAAAACACTTCCTTATACACCTGCCAAGTGTCAGGATAAAGGCAAAATTTGAGATATAGTAGCCATGACCAATTCATTCAAGACATCATTTCATTTGTACAGAAAATTAAGAGCAAATAGTTTTTACTTTTTGTATTTTTTCATTTTTTATCATTTTATTTATGTTTTATTATTTTTGTTGAGAAAAATAGCAATAAGACAGTTCCAAAACTGATTAGTAGGACAGTTTCAATAACTAATACATTGCATATTAATCCTATTGAGAAAAATAGCAATGAGACAGTTTCAAAATTGATTAGTAGGACAGTTTCAATAATTAATACATTGCATATTGTTGTCTTTATAATGGTTATCCATAGTACAAGATGCAGACATGATATCCTGTCTAAACACTACTAGTACAAATCTTTCTTCTCATTGAATTAGGAGAAAGTAGCTGTATATCTATCCTAACTATTTTGTATATACACATACAAAATGGTCCTTCATTTATATCTCCTTTTTTGTTTAGTTTTGTCAGAGATGGGTATTCCATTGCCATTTAAATATTATAGGTGTGTGAATCCAGTAAAATAATCCAATATAGTCCCGTAGTCCATGATAATAGTGGGTTATCTGTAGGACTGGCAATCAAAACCATACATTTTTTCAAGTTTTGCGCAGTGCCAGCGTTGTAGCCAATAAGATTTATCCAAGGTGTGATCATTGCTAATTGTATCTGTTATTTTACATAGCATCCCAGTGTCTTTAAGAAATCACTTAAATCTTATATTTCATTCTCATTAGTATTTATTTATTTTTAAAATATGATTACAATTATGCCTGAGAAGTTAAAAAATATAGTGCTTCCACACACAGCTGATGATCTGTTATGGTCCTTTTATGGTATTACCATAGTGCTTCACTGATCTAACTCTCATTCCATCATCCATGCATCAAGACCACTGCCAGTGGCCTGCCAGGCAACAGCTGCATTGGCTGGTCTATTTGTAGTGAATGTGCTTGAACCTGTAAGTATCCATTATGTACTACCACTTAACTTTTTGCATTTTTCCAAATCATATTGAATCATAACTTTGTAATATTTACCATGCTGGTAAAGCTACATTTATCAAATAATAGTAAAGCAATATTTAGTTGGAGATACACAATTAATAATGGAGACACTTTTAATTTAATGGTATTTAGCATTTCCCTCTTGCTAGAAAAAAAAAAAAGAAACACTTCTAATATGTATCAAATACAGGAACATAATTTGTGGTCTAAATTCCATGCATTCAGGTAGTTCTGGAATACTTTTCAGTGAGCATATAATTTAAGTGTGGAAAATCTTTAAAGGAAAACAAAATAAGTAGGTCGAATAGTGGCCAGCTAATTTATAGATTATTGTTTTAAGTATCGAAGGAGGAAGCATATTCAAAATATTACTGAAATTTATAATACATGGGCATTTTAGTCAATGTGATTTGTTTTCTTTTAAGTAAAGATCATTTTATGCATATACTTAACCAACGTACCAACTAAACTGGGAAATGGAGTTGCTGAGAAGTATATTATGGATAATCCTTAGAGAAGTATGGTTCAGTGACTTTAGATTTCAGTTCTTATCAGATGAGAGGGACAATATTTTTGAGGAACAGTGGCTAGAGGTGCTAAAGAAATGCAAACTGAAAGTAAGACAGAAGAGTCAATACTTGTGGTTGTGAAAATTTCTGAGCCTCACTGGCAGATAATAAGGTCAGAAAATCTGTAAGAATTTCTACGGCCAAACAGACATATTCACACCTTCTCAGTGCCCGCCTCCAAGTACCTCTTGCTCCAGTTGCTTAGGAGTAACAGCAGCAGTAGGCGCAAAGACTTAGAGATTGTAGAAGAGGAGCAACGTTGAGTAAAAGTGGGGTTTGTCAGTTTGTCTGAGCAATTGAACTAAGCTTCACAGTCCTCATTCTCTGAGGCATTCTGAGAGGTTTACATTAGCTAGTAAGGTTTTCCTCTCCTTCATAGAATACAGCTGTGCCAATTGGATGGCTGTGAACTTCTTTTACCAGATAAATAGTGTCTGTCGTTTTAATTCTGATGATACCATTCTAATATCAATCAGAGTGGTTATGTAATTTTAATTTACTGGATTGGATCCCAAGTTAAAACTTAGAAAATAATTTTAGAAATCACTAAAATTTTTTTAAAGTTTTAGTTAGCATTGACTGAAGCCCACTGGGTTACTCTAAAAGTTAAAATCCAAGTCTTCAAACCAGGTGTGGTGGTGCATGCCTATAATCTCAGCACATGGGAGGCTGAGCCAGGAAGGTCATTGTGAGTTACAGGCCAGGCTGGGCTACAAAGTGAGCTCAAGACCAGCCTGAAATTCATAGGGAGACCCTGTCTCAAAAAGACAAAAAAAAAAAAAAAGAATAATACATGCTAATGATTACAACTGGGGTGAAACTGAGGAGAGGTAGTCAGTGTCTAGAAAGAAATGATCAAAATGTAATTAGTAATCTGTTATGTTA